TTAGAAGCGTATTTTATGGCATAAATTTATACATTACTTTGAGCAATGAGTATTCGGAAGCTGTTTTTGCGAGCTATACAAGAAATACTAGAAGTACGATGCCCTGTAAAGATAACATCTAACATCTCCATTGTACTCAGTACATTTTGCAACATGCTTGATTTGAAAGTTTATTCGTCACAAAATAATAAAGTATAATTATGTTATATTTCAATTTGAGCAAAATTTAGTTCCGTGGAGGTATGTAAATGAACGATTTTTTAATTGCAATAACTGTATTGATGCATTACTCGATTATTTTTGCTTTTGCAAAAATTATAAGAAGAATAAATGTATTTTTTTATAATTCAGATGTGAACACGTCAATTTACATATCATCTTAAAATCTTATCTCTTTATATGTTCTAATATATTAGCTTTATACAAATTTACAATAATATTTGTAAATGTTTCAAATTTCTCAATTTTTTTTTTTTTTTGATTCTTCTTGAAAGAAAAATAAAATGAAGAAGAAATGGGAAATATATTACTCATCAGATACTATCGTATAGTTTACAATATTTTCTCCACCTGAAAATATGTACAAGTAATGAAATTTTCATATGTTCTCGTTGAATGAATAGCGCATTGGATGTGAAATTGAATGTGAAATGGAAAAGTGATAGATAGTATTCGAATAGTATCAAAACAATTTCTTCCATTGTTACATTCCTCCGCTAATTGTTCATCATCGATGAGCAAGCAAAAGAAGCATAACGATACGATTTATATCATTACTTTCTGTAAATGTTTCAAACAGAAATTGAAAATTGGTCATTTCTTCCAAGAATTTCTTATAAAGTCAGGCTTCGAAAAAAATCGAAAAAAAAAAGATATAATTATATATTTTTTTTTACAAAAAATAGAATTTCCCATTTTTTTCATTCAATATTTCACAAATTTTTCTCTCCTTCTTAAATGAAAATGCTATTCCTATGATTGTAATTGCTCACAATCATAATCTCATCAAATCGGAAAAATGTGGCATCGATTTATACTGTTTGTATTTACTGCTAATTTATTGCATTTCGCATTCGAGCTTGGAATTAATCAAATGGATTTTTGTTGTTCCAATATCTGTTGCTGCTCATTGTGTACCGCGGAACAATGTCAATTGTTCGATCGACCGGGGTGAATTTTCATGTTTGTAAAAATTTCATTCATCTTAATTCATCTGCTTTTAATTAAAATTAATGAATTTTTATCTGAACAGCTGAACAGCTATCATAGCTCTGAATTACAATCGTATCAAATCCTTTAGAGCAATTCTTATGTGTTCATGTGATAATATTTAATTTAAAAAATACTAGTGTATATAATTTATTTCATATTAAAACAATTAGCAAAAGTTCGGCAAGAATGAAAATTTCAGAAAACAATGTCGATGTTACAATACAACCGACGTAACGTGCTTAAGGTTCAAAAATTTTGTTTACGAACCGGAACAAAAAGTGCAGATTTTTCCTGCTTTACCAGAACAAGCAATAATAGCACAGGTAGTACCAATGGGTATCACACAATTGGATATTGACCCGTTATGTTGTGCTAATAAAAATTGTCCAGCCTGGATAAAATGCAAATATTCGTTAAGTGCAAAACGGGATCAGTCAGGTATTATCGCATTTTAATAATTATTTTATAACAAAGGTTGTTTGTGATTAAATATTACACAGCAACTCAATTATAAAAACGAATGAGGTATTTTTGTTAACAAGATAGCAAATTTTTTTAAAGCTCCTACCTGAATGCCACGATATAAAAAGATGAAGATTAAATAATATCAAATTACGTCAGTTCGTATGTTTCCCAAGAAGCCTAAAACAAGCTAAATGCTAACCATATAATCCCAAGAAATGCTAACCATATAATCACTGATAGCTTTCCCAAAGATTGAATTAAATTAGCCATTTCATCAAATTTTTAAATTTAAAAGATAAGAGACATACTGTTTTAATACAAATGAAATCTAATAAAGACAAGAAAAAGAATGATAATGATAGAAATATCTGATAAGAAGGACTAATTTTGGAAATTTTATGCTCCGCAATATCTCTAATATCACTTACAAGAAACTGAAGAGTCGCAAATAAAACCAATCAAACAATCTTTGTTGCTATCTTTTAATATACCTTTGAACTTTTACTTGTTAAAATAAAATCTCTAGCTGCTTCTTTTAATATCATTAATTGATTTCTAGCGAAATAAAATTTATTTTAAAAAAAAAGTTCATTTTTTCAGCATCGCAATCAATGCCAATATCACTATTTATCCTTGCTTGCATATTATTTGCTCTGATTATTATTACAACCATTGGCCTTTGTATTGCAGTTAGCACGTACATCAGTGATAAGCGACGAACTTGTGATATTTACAACAGAACTGAAAGATATTGAACGGAAAAATATCTTTAAATAATTCCTCTATTTTAATCCCAAAAATTTAAAATATTTTTTATAGCTGTTACAGATTGGCTCTGTACATAATAATCGATGAATTGCTTTTTTTTTTTTGTTTGAGAAACATTATCATGTAATTCATGACTTTCCTGCAAATTTTCATTTCCATTTTATTTGATATGATTTAATCGCGCTAAAATATATTTTTCTTACTGCCAATTTATGCATCCTTTTTGAATTTATTTGTGCTTTATCAAACTTATTTAGTGAAATAATAATTCTAATTTGATAAAATTTTATCGATTATTTAATTTACTGAAGACTTACAGAAAATTTTTGGAAAAATTTTCTGCTTATTTTGCAATTAATTTACAATCGAACAGTGATGGTAAATCTGAAAAAATTGATCGTTTTAGAATCCAAAACAGAAAAATTATCAATCAAAAAATTTTTCCTATGTTGGATTCTAAAATAATTACCAAATAAAAAATTGATAATTTTTGGAATCTAACATAATCTAACATAAATTCATTTTTTACACATTTCTAGAAAGTATTTTTGGACGAAGTGCTTCGTATTAAAACTACTCGATTGATGGAAGACATCTACCATATAAATATTGTCATTACTTTTAATGATTAATTAATAAAAACTTTGCACGATGCACATTCTTCAATAGTTTAAACGAGTTGCTAATTAGCAGTGCTATAAAAAAAAAAACGGGTTGCAATATCAAAAAAACGAAACATTTCTCTTTTTGACGAAACATCACCGACTTTAATGGAAATATTTTGTTTAACGCAATGTTTATTTTCAATTTTCTCAGCCTGAAACTTTTAATGGCAAATGATATTGTCTATTTTCGAATTTAATTACAGTGCTTGATATTTCCCAAAAATCTAACACTTTTTTCCTATCATCAGAAAATATTTTGCTGAAATCAGATTTTTTTGTACAGATTTAACAGTATTTTATGATTACTTTCTGCAATCAAGTTATTTTAAAAAACGAAACAAAAAAACAAAAATTTTGCTTAATCTTTTTCAACGCAAGAAAATATTTTATCAAATAGTTTGTATTGTGAAATTTGCTCAAATGAAACATTTAAGTTATTGGTAATTAAATTAATTCCAATGCAATAATGATCTTTTTAATTTGTTTCAGATGTTGATGCATATGAAAAATACGCTCAATTTTGGTTTTTTGTTAATTATTATAATTGCCAATCTGTTTCCTTTATCAGGTTCATTTTCAATTCAAACAAGTAAAATGCTGAAATCACCGATGTGATCAGGAAGTGCAATATTTGCACTATGATAGCCATGCCGATATGCATGCTAGAACAACCATTTCTGAATTATTCATTGTGCAGTCAGTTCAAGACTAAACCGTTGTTTAAAATTATACATTGGCCATAATTTGCATATTAGCACAATTATTCTGAATTATTTATATCCAGCAGTAACTCAAACTTATTTTCAAATATTGATTCAATCATCAGTTAAATTTTTGATCGCTGTTATTATTGCACGTTCAATTTACAATAAATCACCTGCTCAGTGATTTCGAATCATTTCTGGTTTTAATTTTACATCTATCAAAAACAACAGTGAAGTTTTCACTTCTCTCACAAATAAAACTTTGATTAATTAGTATCACCAAAACTTATCACTTCATTACTATCATAATTGAAATTTCGTTTTCAGATTCAGCAACAACATGTTATGTTGGAAGGAATCTTAAATATATAAAGCGACGTTGTGAAAGTGGTAGCAGTAGCCAGGACTTTGTTTGTCAGAAATTCATTTGCGAAGGTGGAAAATGTAGGTATTATTTTTAAACAAATTCTAAAATTATAGGTGCAATCTGAAATATTCGAAATTTTGAAAATAAAATTTTTAATACCATGCTAAATAGCTCTTTTTTCAGTCAGTTAGCCTTTAAAACTTAATTTTTAAATTCAATTATAATCAAATAAAAGAAATTATTCCAAAAATCAAATTAGCAAAGCAGAACAGTTTCAATTTTGATTAACAGTCTATAGATTTCTGCTTTCAAAGATTATAAAATAATAATTTATTGTTTAAAATTTCTTGGTAAATAGAAAAAATGTAAACGTGTTAATGTCGAAATCATTTTCATTCAGTCATTTTAGCACCATTTATACTACGAACATGTGCGAACAAACGAATCGGATGCTTAGCAGGTCCAGCAATTTGTCGTTTCAGTAATGGTACCGGTTACTGTGACCGTTGTAGCACGAATAACTGTAATTTGTGATGTATAGCAGGTATGCTTCAAGCAAAAAAAGAAATAAAAATTTGTTCAATTTGAAAATCGAAAGCCAAATATTGGCTTTTATGGCATGTGAAATATACGAAAAAAAAAACGTTCGTAAAGTGTATAATAAAAATTATTAATTCCCATATTTTAATACTGATTGAAATTTACTTGTTCTTTTATTGTATTTAATGTAAAATTACTATGTTTGCTTGAAATCTGTTGCTAATTAATTACGAATAGCCAAAACTGTAAAGATACATACATAGATAAATGATATTAAATTGATGTGGCTTATTAATGAGTGGAAGAGTTTTAATGAGCTTAAGAATAATAGTTTTTTTTACATTTATTCTTCTGATATTTTCCGTATTTTCATTAGGAAATTAAGTTTTTTATCTTGAATGAATAAAGACATTAACGTAGAAAAAACTTTCTGATATATTCTAATTCCTAAATTTAAAAAGGTGAAAGTTAATCTCACTAAAGTATATGTAAAACTATCACGTTCAAGACAAGTACACAGATTGATACAAAAGTTTAGATTAAAATTAACTAATTAAATTTGCCATTAAGACTGCCATTAAACTTTATAATATACTAGATTTTTTATTGAAATCTCTAGAAATAACCAATTCCTGAAGACTCCTTCAAAATTATGCCCACAAAGTTTTGAATTTTAAAAGTTTTGATCTTAACGGCACTGATAACTACTTGGAGGATTAATCACCTTCTAGAGATCCAATAAGATATCATATAATTGTTAGTTGATTTTTCTTATAGTGCTGAATTTGAAATATTTCTTTTTAAATTCTTCCATGCTAATATTCTATTATCCGTGAATGAACAATTCCAGTAAGAATTTCTATTGCAATTAATGAATTGACAAGTGAATTCTTGAAATTAGTCAGTGATTAAGAATCGCTGAATTTGTTGCAATTTTCATACAATTTGCATAGAAGAAAACCATTTGAATTGTATAATAGATTGAAAAAAATCGCTAGATTTAAATGATTAGTGGAAACAGAGTAATTCTCAATTGATGTTGTGAACTTATTTGTTTTACTTTGTTTCGGTACAGTTGAACTATTTGGTATAAGTTGATGTTTTTGAAGAGATTTTTCAAACCTTATTTTCCGGAAGAAATATGAAGAAATAATCAGCACCGACAACTATATTGGGCCTTCTCCATCAATAGCTTCCTAAATGATAAATGATAATAATTTAAATGGTAAATGATAAATGATAATAATTTAATATTTATAATTTGTTCTTTAAGCAGTCTATTATATTGGCCTTAATAAATATATTTCCTTTTCCTCTAATTCTTATCTTGATTCTTGCTTTGATTGCAATAATGATTTTTTTAGCAAATGAAGCAATTCTCAATTATTTCGTTTTTTGTTGACTTAATCAATTTGCTATCATTGAATATAAAGAATAATTGCGAATCGATATCAAAGAATGCTAATGCTTTCTCATCGGTCTCTGGCTTCTCCGATTGTTATTTTAATTTCTGTGCATAAGACTGATATTACCTTATCCGGTTGATTTTTTTCTTCGATTATTGAATTTGCCACAATTCATTTTTTCTTTCATCGATCCATTATTTTGTATGGAATTCTTATATTTGGTATAACATAATGCAGTACTGTGAAGATATTCGCAACGGAAACATAAATATTTCTCTTTGTAGCATTGTTCTTTTCAAACATTCCATTCGTTGTTTGAGGACAGATAAGTCCAATATTCATTATTCTGATGATCGTTATTGAGAAAGTCGTCTTACTACTTGTGGAGCTTTCTATAAGTCTGTGGCCAACTTGGGACCATTTATTTTCTGCTGCTTGATTCAAGCTGAATCTTGTTGGTTTATGTTTGACTTAAAGTCGACTGTATTCCTTTTTTTTCTTTTTTTTTTCATTTTCTTTTCATTGTCAAAATCCGGTAATTCGAAATCAAAATGTCCACTTGACATCAGCAAGCTCTGTCGTTTATATGAGGAATCAAAAATTGATAAATTTAGCAGTTTTATTCGCGTTTGCCTTTCTATTTGCTGATTTCGTATGTTAGCACATTGATTCAGTTTGTCAAAATATGATCAATCTTTATTGCTTGTTACATTTTCCAGGTTATTAATTTCACTTAAGCAAGTCAAAACTGCTTGTCACGTACAACGACGAGTGCTCTTCAAAACCAGACAGTCTTCCATCACGCAATGCATTGCAATTCGTCGCTGTTGCTGTAATTATAGTACAGAAGTAATTATGTAAATTCATTTCCTTTCTTATTGAAAGAAGCCAGCGAGCGGGGCAGAAGAATATATGATTTTGATGAGAGAATTATTAAATTAAAAATTCTTGAAATGACTAATCACTTAACAACAAATAGCGTCATTTAGTAAGTTTTTTATGTGAACATACAATATAATACTGAAGTCGTTGCCATTAATGGGCCATCATCCCACAATCTGCCAACTTCACCATCATTGATGGTAATTTCCATATCTGAAATACATGTTGGCGCTCACCTAAGTAACAAAAAAAGCGGGAATGTTCGAGATCTGAAATGGTTAAATCTATCATTCCGTAATTTCGCACAGTCTGAAATTTTGTTTTCTACTTTTTATGAAATTCTTTCATTCTAACAATCTTAGTTGCGAGATCTACAACACTTAATCATACGTCATTAAGTATTAGAAATGTTTTTATTTTAGGAATGATTCTAAACGAACCATCCAAAGATCCGGTACCGAAGTATAAAAAGCGTAATTTTTCATTTTTCTCACTTGGTCTTCTGCTTTCTTTTTTGATATTTTCTAGTAAAATACTGTTAATTGTTGTTATAGAAAATAGAAAACGGCATCACCAGTTTTTTCGTTACCATTTCCGCTACTCTGTTCAGTTCGTGCTGTCAAATTCTTGAATTTTTCCATTCTAAGGCACAAAAAAAAATAATACGAAATTGGAAAATCCACTCACAAATGCTATGATCCAAACCTTGAATGAAAGAATCCATTCTCGATAGGAACCGCCCGCAATATATTCCCGTCAGAATGTATCGGAACAATAAAATGTTTTCTATTTCAGAAAATAATTTCAGAATACAGGAAGGCATTAACAATTCAAATATGGTAAAGCTGATAATATACATTGCTTTCATCATTTTTCTTCAAATCCTTAACAAATTGTCAATCATCTGATTATACAATTTTTTAAAAGGAATGCAATTACTTGATTATAGTTAGGGATTAATTTGTTAGGATTTCCTGACAAGTAATGCAACTTACTGTACTGGTCTAATACTTATATTCCCCTTAGTTGAGACTCAACCAATTCCTTGCCAATTCCCATTCTTCGAAATGATTATTTCAATCTCAATAATCAAAAAATCATCACCATAATTGTACGCAATATTACACGACGAATAAAATCAATCATCTTTGTGGTCAACAAACTAAATTAAAAAGAATGGATGATTAGGCAATAGGTAATTTTGCAGTCAAGTTATAAGCTGGTGGTCAGATAGATTAATCCCTTACGATGTTTTTCGTATGCAAAACCATACATTATTTAATTGTCATAATAATTTTATATAGAAATATTTCTCATGAATTTAATGCAATATTTTGCGTTATGAATTGATTTCGAACTTTCGACAACATTTTGAGACTAAAATATTGCCATTGTTTAAAATGATTCAAATCTCCGATTGTCATATTTAAAGTTGCCGGAATATGCATTTATAGTAAACTAATAATGAGTAAATGTTTACCCATAACAGATTAAAGTTATAAAGCTTATAGCTATGATTAGCATAGTGACCCCAAAGTGTCTGCCAACAATTATTCAAAGTTCAAAATTTGTACTAGCCGGTAATGCGGTCTTTTCTATTTATTATCATTTAATACCGCGGAAATATGAATTAAATTTCATATACATAAATTAGTCACTGATATTTAAAAGTGATAGTCATGAAGAGAAAAAGTTTTATTATTTTATTGCTTTATTGTTTTATTTTATTATTTTGCTATTTTATTGTTTTATTGTTATTTCATTATTTCATTATTTCATTATTTCATTATTTCATTATTTCATTATTTCATTATTTCATTATTTCATTATTTCATTATTTCATTATTTCATTATTTCATTATTTCATTATTTCATTATT